TAATAATATCTGAAATTAATCTTTCACCATCGATATCAGCCTGGAATAGAAAGCCCTTGACTATATTTCTGAATATTTTGTCATAAAGCCAAGCATATTAAAAATATATTTTACATAGAATTTTTTAATAAATTTGATAAATATTTATATATATTTTTATTGAACTACAACTCACCTGGAAATAAGTGTATTTATAAATCTCTCCTCCAGTAAGACGACAAATTTGACCAATTGTTGCTATATCTACATATGAATTATTAAAGATAAATAAATCTACACTACAACCTGCACCGACACATTCCTGACCCAAATTATTATAGACATTGTTCTGCGGAGCTATAAAAAACAAAATGGTTTACAAAAGTTACAAATCATCATTACTCTAAATGCTGTAAAATACATACCTAATACCGTTTTTTCTTTATCTGTTCCAAGTACTTTACGATCGTCACGGTTTTTCAGTTTCCCAGGTGCTTCGGCAATTGGTAAAGATGAATGGAATATTAATAATTTACCTGCACGTTCCGATGCCTGGAATCATAATTATATATGTTTTATGATAATAATCAATATAAATAAAATTATGTATAATTTCACTGAATGGATATAATTTCACCTTATTGAATCTTATTAACTTATACTTGATCACTGACGAAGAAAAAATTTATCTACACACTTTTTGTTTAATTTTCTTTCCAGATTATACATATAACTGCACTATTAGTTTAAGTACCTTTAATGCTTCTAATCCAGCTTGTATGGCAGGAGCAAGAATCGTTTCTGTCTCTCGAGTGTCTGCGAACATTTGAGGAATCTGTGTCATAAGGCTGTCGATAACTGCCTCACTCTCTTCGATATCGCATAAAAATCCATCTAACAGTGGCATAAATACATCTTGAATATCTCCAACAACCATCATTTGTGGTTGAGCAAGACAAGGATTGATGTTATAAAAATGCACAGTATTATTATATGTTATAAAGCCAACTTTCATGTTGCTTTTGGTTTGTCCATCATCAATAGGTAAATTCTTTATTATAGATTTCATCTTTGTACATAATAAGTTCACTAATCCCGATTTAACTGTATTGTACGATACATCAATTATGAACACAATGGCTGGTGATTTTGGAAATATGTTGTCCTGCAAAAAGAATAAATCAACATTATGGAAATCAACATTAATAAATTATATACACATAAATTAATAAATTATATACATATGAATTTATAATTTTAATGATTTAGATAAATAATTTTTATTTTTATTTTGTTTTCTAACTTTTTAAAATATTGAATTTAATTATTTACTAATATATTGTTGTAAAATTTAAAAATAATTTTATTGAATGATTAAATATATTGAGTTAATTTACCCTGCAATAATCTTTTGTGGCTATATATTCAAATGTACCCAGTGTTAATTCAGGTCTCTCATAACGATCTAAGCGTTGACCTGTGTGGTCTAAGTGTTGGAAATATTCATTTGGAACTAAACATAAAAAACATAGATATAAATATTTAATGCAAAAAATGACTATGAATGCAAAATAATTCTTAATTAATTGTTACCTTCTGTAGTTGCTTTACAAAACATGCATTGAAATCTTCGGCCAGCATCAATAAATTGCATAAATGGACACATGTAAGCTTTACAACGTACGCAACGTACTGGTCCAATTTCACCCATATCTACAATTGGTGGTTCAAATTCTCCTTTCACAATCCGAGCCATTGGACTAATCACAAGTCCAAAAGGAATATTAGTCTGTGTAAGATACAAATGTATCAAAAAAATGTAAAACAAAATAAGTAAATAACAAACTGACTCTTTGTTCACTCTATTCCAATATACCTGCTTTATAAGATCAGCAGTAGTGGGTACATTATACATAGTGGATCTGATGTATCTGGGAGAAGCATTTCCTTGATCCTGAGTTACAAAATTTGTCGTCACTAAAGGTGGTGCCAGACCTTTCTGATTCGTTATAAATACTCCGCGTCTTATACTTTGATCATCTTGTATTACTTGAATCTGGATTGAAGACAGTTTGATTTGAGATAATAAATAATATTGGCATATAAAATAAGTTAAAAAAATTAAATTCATACTGGGCTCGGCATTTGTTCTGGATCAAGTCGTCTAGTATGTTGAGGTTGATATCCTGTAGCATTTGGTGCACTTTGATATAGATTTCTTTGATTATTATACATATCCTACAAAAGAAAAACAGTTGTCATTCTTTTTTATATAAAAAGTCTTAATTAACTCTTAAAATAGCAAATTTTTTAAATATATACCATTTGATTAGGATATCCTGGTTGCTGATACGTTGGTTGAAAACCTGAAGTGATACCAGGTGATGCACGATTCATTCCTAAAGGACTGGATAAATTTTGTCCTGGTAATGGAGGCATGGTAGTAGAGCCATATTGTCTTTGTCCAGGCTGTATTAAACCTGGTCCTACAGGATTCGCTGTAGTTTGACCTGGCATTGGA